AAGCAAGTGTGGAGAGAGGTAAAACTGCCCCCAGGTGAGAGCCACTGATTCACAGGTGGTGGTTAAGCAGACAGTTGGCACATACAGGTGGCCGACCAGAAGGTGGCACTTCTGTTCACATAATGCAGCAGGCTGCACCCTGCTCCTCACCTCTCCTGCATCCTTGGCTCTGTCTCAAATATTAGGAGCCATCTAGAGCTCACTTTGAGGAGTAACAAAGTCTCTGTCCTGCATAGTTTATAATCCCTAGTAAGTCATCCGTTTTTCTCTTCTGTTGCCTCTCTACCCAGCCCACGTGAAGCTGAGTGTGGCAAGTGTGGGCTTTTATTCCGTCTCCTCTTCAAAGAACACCCCACAAGCTAGCAAGCCAAGTGTCTGAGTTTCATCAAAGGCCACCTGTCTCCAGGGCCTGAGGACCAGGCGTTGGATGACCCTTAGAGTGTGGCATGGCTGGATCAGAGCCTGTCCCTGAGAGTGCACTGCAGAGCTTTGCATCTTGAATGTCTGGTACAGCCCACGTGCTGGAGACTTGGTCCCCTGCATGGTGCTCTCGGGAAGCTGTGGTGCCTTTAAGGAGTGGAGCCTCATGGGAGGTCTTCTGACATTGGGTGGGGGGCATGCCTTTGAAAGTGATGGCAGGTCCCTTCTTCTTTCTCCATTGTAGTCCCTGGCCCCGTGGTGAGTGGTCTTGCTCTGTCATATGCTCCCACCATGGTTTGCTGCCTCCCCACAAGTCCAAGAGCAACTGATCATAGACTGGAATCTCTAAAACTGTGAGCCAGAAAGAAACCTTTCCTCTTTATAAGTCGATTATCCTAGGTATTTGTTACAGTGACAGAAAAGCTACCACGGCACGTTATTCTTTCTTTCATTTTGTAGAGGGGAAACTAACCAGCACTGGGTAATGAAATCTATCCCACAATTTCCCACTTATGTTTATGCTTGGGAAAAAAAATGCTGGAATGTTTTCACATCATGTTTCCTGTTTGTCACGTTTCTCTGCCTGGATGTGTTTTCTTGTTCCCTTGAAAAAAGTGAAAGCCACTTTTACTCTATTAACATTGATTGTCCAGCATTCATAATTAACGTTGTATCAGCTCATGTAGTGGGAAGATTTCATTAGTAAATTAAACATAACTTCATTTCTTCATTGCTTTCCATATTTGGGGGGCTTTTAGAGAAGCACTGGCTTTATAGAAATCCACTGAGTCAAGCAGAGACCATGTAACTCCATGGTTCTGTTGCTGTGGGGAAGAGAAATTGTGTTCTCAGTTCTTGTACAGGTTGTATGTTCTCAGGTGTCTTTTATTCGAGCATTCTTCCTTCAATCAGAATGCTCTATTTTCTGGGAAGCCCCACCTTAAAGAACAACATGATTACTAATCACAAGTTCACCATGACATAAAATACAGAGCCTTCTCAGATCCTGATATTTGTATTTAATCAATAACAGCATTCTTTTGTGATCTTACCCCTACAATTGTGGGTCCCCAGCTGTGTGTGTTTTATCATGTAAAAATTCAGTTGAAACAGTCATTCATGATTGCAAGATGGATGATGTTTTATTATTGGTTATAAAGAAAAGAAATTTCACACTCTGTATCACTGACCCTTTCTGGGAGAGCGTTGTGAATTCTGAAAGTGAGGCGCAAGTTAACAAACCGTGGAGGGAGGGCACAGAAAGATTTTGGAGTGTTCTGACCACGGTGTAAAATAAGACCTGGTGGCTTTTATGTCTCTAGTCGACAGGCATTCAATTCACATTTAAAATGCACAAGCTTTGCAAAACTTGAGGGTATGAGGGTCAGATAGAGTGAGGAGGCAATGATGGAAATATGTAACCCCAGTGTGCCATGGCCGGATCAGTGATGGCAGGCACCGTGTTGTGGGCACAGGGCTGCAGAGGCCCCGTGGGCACAGGCCTGTTCCTCTAGTGCTGTCCGGTGAGTGGAGGGGGAGCCCGGAGACGGCCAGGGTGGCCGGGGGCTCAAGTCACTGCTGTCCAGGATGCTGTCTGGTGGGTTGTCCTTCAGTGGCTGCAGCTGTCTGCTGTGTGTCCCTGGACTCCCACGGGGAGCTAAGGAGCAGGCTGTGTGGTCAGAAAATCAGACTTCCAGTTAGAGTGCTGACACCCAGCCCAGCCCCCTATGTGGTCTCTGCCCGGCAGCTCTGGAGCCTCCTCTTTCTTGCACAAAATGTGAGAATGTTGGAGAAGAGTAACCCTGGGTTGCCTYCTGTCCTATGAATGTTTTTCTTTTCTTTTGCTCATCATCTGCAAGTTCTAAGCATAGAGTACTATAGAGGTTGGAGCTGTGTTTTTGAGCTTCCTAAAGGCAAAAGGATAGAGCCTCTAGGAGGGCCTGAGGACTCTCCTGCTCTGTATTCTTGAACAGCGAGTGCCACTGTCGACAGGAGCCAGGCCAGCCTTGACCGCACATGCCCTGCCAACTCAAGGGAGGTTAAATACCTTCTGGAGGCAGCTGAAAAAAATATACTTTTAAGGTTAATAGTTTTCAATGTTGGGGGAATTTATTGCAGACTGGAAAAATGTGCTAGATGACTGTAGAAGTAAAACAAGCATTGGTTTTCCTGATAGTACCCAAGGCAAGGTAAAAAAATGTGCTTTGAAGTCTGTCTCGTTTCTGCACAATACCTAAATCTCTTTCAACTCTCCCTTTCACTTTCCTGTTCTTCATTTGGTTATTGATGCCTTGTGCTTCTTGATATCCAATGATCATTGCGTCTCCAGGGGATATAGAAGCACTAATGAGAAATTGTCCTCCTTGCACCTAAAGAATTAGGCCTACAGATTCCAAAGTGACTTCAAACTCCATGTGCTTTCCCTGCAAACTTTTTGTCTTAATTAAGTTGAAAACCACTTCATGTCAATCTTTTAAAGAAAACATTGTAAGTATAAGGAAGTATTCAATATTTATCAATTTAGCACAAAGAAGAAATCTAGCTATTGAAACACATGCTCTCTTAGGAAATTTGGGGCTAAATAGGAACCTGTGTGTGTTTCTTTTGGGTGCCATTAAAAGGAGAGTTTGTTACTAGAGTATGCTGATTTTAAGTCCTTTGAATATAGACTGAGGAGTGGGATAGCTGGGTCAAATGGTGGTTCCATTCCAAATTTTCTGAGGAATCTCCATACTGCTTTCCAGATTGGTTGTACCAATTTGCAGTCCCACCAGCAATGTATGAGTGTGCCTTTTCCCCCATATCCTCGCCAACATTTATTGTTGTCTGTATTCTTGATAATTGCCATTCTGACTGGAATGAGATAAAATCTTACAGTAGTTTTGATTTGCATTACTCTAATTGCAAGAGATGTTGAACATTTTTTTATATATTTGTTGATTGTATAATCTTCTTCTGAGAAGTGTCTTTTCGGCTCCTTAGCCCCATTATTGATTGGCTTGTTTGTATTTTTGATGTTAAGTTTTTTGAGTTCTTTATATATCCCTAGTTATTAGTGCTCTATCTGGTGTGTGTGTGTGTGGCAAAAATTTGCTCCCAAAATGTAGGCTCTCTGTTCACCTCATTGATAGTTTCTTTTGATGAGAAGCAGCTTTCTAGTTTGAGTTTATCCCATTTATTAATTCAGCATATTATAGTAACAACAGCTAAACTGTGGAAGCAACCTTGATGCCCTTCAGCAGATGAATGGATAAAAATACTGTGGCATATCGACACAATGGAATATTACTCAGCATTAAAAGAGAATAAAATCATGGCACTTGCAGGTGGATGGAGTTGGAGAATATAATGCTAAATGAAGTTAGCTAATCTCTCAAGCCCAAATGCTGAATGTTTTCTCTGATATAGTATGTTGATTCATAATGGGGATGGCAGGAGGAACATGGGAGGAATAGATGAACTAAAGGGGAGGGAGGGGAAGCGAGGGGGTATGAGAATAGGAAAGGTGGTAGAATGAGATGGACATCATTGCCCTAAGTACATGTATGAAGACCAAAATGGTGTGACTCTATGTTGTGTACAACATATGAAAAATTATGCTCTATATGTGGACTATGAATGGAAATGCATTCTGCTGTTATATATAACAAATTAGAATAAATTAAAAAATAAAATACTAGAGAAAATGGGGAGATAGGTGAAAAAAGGAGAGTTTATAAAATAAGCTGATTCTGTTTTAATATCCTGTTGCTTATGATACCTGACAGAAATGAGAAAAAGGAATAATCAAGTATCAGAGATAATTTTCTTGAAACATGCACATTGTTCCCATTTAGGTTTATTAGAATAAAGAGAAGCCTTTCTGGAACAAATTGAGAATATCATTGCCTGGGATGACATAGTCACACACACACCATAACATGGTCTGGGATCATCAGCACCCTCCTGAAGTGTATACCAGATTCAGAATTCACTGGAGATGCTTCAGAGACATCTGTTGTAATTACAGGAACATGGTTTCTAATTCATTTAATTCCCTTTCCTACCTAAACTGTACCTATAAGTGAATTTTAAGAGACTGTATAAATAAATTTTTAATTACAAAATGATGTTATACAATACATTATTAATAATAACCAACAATGCATAATGTTTATGCATGAAACCATTAGAAAGGCGAGCTAATGTATGTCAATGCTGAAAGAAAGCACTAATCTGTCCTGAATTTGTGAATGAGGCTGAATCCATGAAGCAGACCAAGTGCAGCAGCACAGTGCAGCTTAGCATGCTACTGGGTACTCAAGGAGCATCGCACACCTATGGCCTTTAGGAGGTATTCACGGTTTGTTCATCTCATCAATTGAGGCGCTTACTCTTCAGCAAGCCATGCGTTTGTGACATTGGAATGAGACCACTGAGTGGACCATGCTAAGTTTCCCAGACAGATGCAGAATGAAATGGCCCCAAGCGTCCAAGGACTGCAATACAGCCCTGCATTTGGGCACATGGAAACCCCTGTTTCTTTGCAATGGAATTTCCCCTCCCGTTGATGGCCTTGTGGGGGCTCCTGGGTGGTGGCACTAGCGATAGCACATTTCGGAGATCTCCATGGCCAGCTCCAGACACTCGCTGGTCTCGTGGCAGGACTCAAAGAGGCTGCAGTCCACGTCACAACTGCAGCTGCAGTCCCCACGCGGGTGCTCCTCGTCCGTGGCATGGTGGTACCCATGAGAGGGGCAGCACAGGCCGGTGCACACCGCTTCACAGGTGTCAGGAAGCATCAGCAGACAGTCCCCAAACTGGCAGAACAGACAGGCGAGGATCAGTGAGGCACACTCCTCTGTTGAAAGAAGGAGATGCTATTACTACATGAGAATGGAATCACTGTTAACTGTTTAAGGAGAAGGAATTGCTAACCACCCAGCTCTGATCCTCATATGTGCACTAAATTACTACTCTGTAACTGGAAATATGTACCTTTAAAATAATGGCTGATAAAAATTATTATTGCACATGAACAAAAATAAAATAAGAAAGAAGATGGATAGTAACACCTATGGGGGTATCAGCAAGGGGCGCATAAGTGGGCTTCATAGCTGACTCTTGATTGTCTGTCCATGCCAGAGGACAGCTCACCCTGGCCCACTTGAGCCCCACCCCCATGCCACCACTGTCACTACTGAAGTAATGCTTTATTAACTCCTGAGCATTTCCTGTTGATTCCACATCATCAGGTTATTTAAAATGCTATCCCTTTTCTCTATTCCTTTACTTACTTTGCCTACAGAGGTGCTAGGAAGCCACAGAATTAGCTACCTACCTGGAGACCTTGAAGCTGTTTTGAAAAATAGCAGAGCCTTTGCTGGAGCCTCAAGAGCTGGACAGGAGAGGCTACCCAGCTCTCACTTCTTGTCACCATGCTTTGTTATGTGTTCCACCGTGGATTCCAGGAAATCCACCACATCCATAAATGCAACCGAAGAGCACATTTCAAAACTTAATATAAATGCTTTTTAAAAGAATCACAGCTTTTGGGGTTGTGTTTCATTTTTAGTTCCTGTCTCCTTTTCCCTCCAGTTCTGCAGAGCCTTGATTTTATATTCAAGTGTTTAAGTGAAGTACGTCATCATAGGTCTAAAAGGTTTTAAATCTTATCAGTCCTCTTTAAGAAAATTGGTTTAAAAATTTACTATGCAGACTTGTAAAAATCTGGGAAGTATCTCTGCAGCACTGAAGGTAATTGGTAATTCTAGCCAAACAGCTGCAACGGGTTATAGATTATTTTATTTTTTTGGCTTCCATAAAGGGAATTAGTTGAAGATGTAACAGTTCTCTTGTTAAAATCATAACTTATTTTCCAGTTTATAATGCTTCAAACATGTGTGAGCTTCTTTGGAGAAGGCAGGTAAGTGTTCATGGGATAAGTCATCCAGTTAATCAAAATCTGTCATCTGAAGTTTGCTGACGATTGGGAGTCAGCTTCCAGAACATTCCCCTCAGACGGGCTTATCCACTGATCAAGCTTTGATTCTCATGAGGATCTCGTTTCTCAATGGCATGTGACTGATTTTCGGGTATTCAGACTTGGATGGACGGGACTGTAGAGCATGCAGAAGAGACCCCCTGCCCCCCACAAAGAAATCAAAGTGCTTTCTGCCCTGTCCATTTACTTCCAACCGACTTTTCCAGAAAAGGTTGCTCTCTTTTATGAACTTGTAAACATGCTCAGAAAAGGAGCAAATGCTATAAAGTAAGTAGTTTTAACATATTGTGAAAGCACTATCTGACACTGTAAAGCGAATCCTGAGTATAGATAAACTGAGATCTTCCTTGCTCCTTCCCACCGGCCCCTTCCTTCCCAGTGAGCTGGTGGTAAAATAAAACACACCATGATTTTTACGATGACTTTAATTGCCTTATATTGCTGCAGGTGTGGTGGTCATTATGTGGTATTTATAGTTAGGCTGCATTTTCCACAGTGCCTCTGCTGGTGGGTGCTCATCTCTTACCAGCCTGGGCGTGTTTTCATTAGCTTTGGCTAGCTCYTAGCAAGTGGCCATCTCAGTCCTATCAGCACCCACCACCCACAGAAACTCGAGAGTGAGTTAGTAACAGGACACGGATTCTATTTGCACTGGCTTTTCTAGAGCGGGTGGCAACTGTGACCTCATGAATGTTGGCAGCACTGAGGTTGCTCCCATAGCAGCCCAGGGCAAGAGGTCCTCCATGATCCCTTGGAGAACCCACTCAGGCTTACGACTCTATAAAAACGACCCCAGGGACCCTGGGCTTTATGCATACAAGGGTTTGGAGTAAGGAGGGCAGGAGGCAGGGGGACTGACGTGAGGGAGGACCTGGTGATTCTCGCCGTATGTAGCGTTAAGATGGGGGCCTCATGGTTTCCTGAGGGCACATATTCTTCTTCAATCACACTTGCCAACATCTCCTCAAGTTGACAGACTCTGAACATCTCTGCTTCTGATGCAGATCTTAGATTTTATTCATTAAAGAGAGAGAGAGAGAGAGAGAGAAAGAGAAAGAAAAAGAAAGTTTTGGCCTAATCATTTGGCTAATTTGGCATTGGATTTCTGCCCCTTTCTATTTTGCACTTGAGAGCAGCGCTGGTTTTTTTCTGTTTCTAAGTCAGTCCTTTTTATTTGCTTATAAAAGGCAGAGCCTCTAGCTCCCACCACCAAAAAAAAAAAAAAAAAAAAAAAAAAAAAAAAAACCCAAGGTAACATTAATGAATTGAAAACAGATTTTTCCAAACTTTCAGGCTTGTTCCGTACTTCTCCTAAATCACGTATTAAATAATTATTCACCAGTAGGCAAAAAAAAAAAAAAAAAACTGTTTTGCATAGAGTCAATTTTGGCTGACACAGATGTCATGTAAATGGGTTAAAGGACAAGAGTGCAACTGTTTGGAAAGGGTGTCGGGGTCTCCCTGCACCTGAAGGAGGTCATCTTCCTTTGCCCACTCACGTTCCATAAATTGACATCAGAGTCACATCCTGTGATTCGTACCCTTCTTGCTGTTCCCCAGGAAGGAACACAACGCACACTGTGGCCTACATCACACCTCTTCAGTGTTTGCAGGACATCTCACATGCCAAGGCCTCACTGCATTGGGGCCTTCCTCGTCCCCCCTCCCACACACCTGTCCCTCCTCTGGTTTCTCTTAGGAGTGGCTCCTGAATGCCCAGGTGAATTCTCCAGGAACCTGGAGGCACTCTTTGCCATTTCCCTTTCACTTATTGCTTCCCCCATGTCCAGGGCACCCCTGCATCCTGCCCTGTTTCCCTCTGGCCTCTGCCTCCTGCAGAGCCACTGTCTGAGCTCTGGCCCTATCAGCCATCTCCAGAGGCCTCCTCCGGAGGACATTCTGCAATCACAGGGGCCCACTTCAGATTCAGCAGCTGTGATATTTGTAATCTGACATTAGAAAACTCCACCACCACCACCCCGAGTCCCCAAGGCTTGCTAGAGCCTAAAAGCCCCGTATCATTGGGCCTCTTCCTCCTTCCTGACCCCAGGACCTGCTCTCCTTAATCCTCACCACACCACAGCTGCGTTGTCTGAACGTCCCTGTTTGGCACTAGCCTAGCTCAGGACCCGTGTGTGTGCTGAGCTTTCTGATGTGTCACACACCCTCCCCCAGCTGTACCCAACTCCTGAGCAAACTTTTAGGTCTGTCTTAAAATGCTGTAAGCCACACCATTGCCGAACCTTCTACAGCCCCTGCTTTATTTCTCCTTCACGGCCCGACCCTCAGATGGCATTGACCTAGTGAGTCTGTCAGCTGGTTTCACGTCACAGGAGGTAGGAAAGCCTTTTCCGAGGCTGATTCTGAGTGGGAAGCTTTGTGATCCCTGTTTTTCAGTGAAAGGACTATGGTCCAGTTGTTGGCACKGAGGGCCCGGAGTCCTCCCGATTCTAAGGTGGTAGAGCAGAGATGCCTGACTCATCCCTCTGGATCTAAAGCCTGTGCCCTCTCTCTCATGGTCAGGGGTCCCTGATTCACCAAGGGCCAATCTGCATCCCTCCACCTGTTCTGTGCACCTCACACAGGCCTCAGAAAGGCACTGGGAGGTGGTGGTGTTACCTTCCCTGTTTACAGAGGAGGGACTGGTGGAGAGGGTGTTGGAGGCTGTCCCACCCAGAGCCTAGGAGCAGGAAGCTCAGCCCTCTGAACACTTGCTCTCTCCTGCCTGTCTTGGGCACAGCACAGGACGCTGCACTTACCAACGGCCTGCTGTCCTCTGTTTTCCCTGTTCTGACGTTCATGGCTGGGCTCATGGAGGCTGTGGGAGGAGCTGGGAAGCTGGAAGAAGGGGAGCCCAGGGTGTTCCTCACACCCTCTCTTGGCTCTGGGAGCTGCCTTCCCCTTGGAGTTCTTTTGTCCCTGAGGTTGTGGCTAACACATCCCTGGTGGCCTGTCAGTAAGGCTGGTTGCCATGGCCTGCAAGTTAGTGCAGTGCCTCTGCCCCTAGACTGCAGGGACACAGGAGAAGGGCAGGGCCTTCCCATAGCCCTGCTTCTGGGCTGTCTCGCTGTTCATCTTACAAACCTTAAAGCTCCTCTGGGACCTTTGCAAACATTCCTTGCACAGGAAAGCCCCTCTGTCAAGCCACTGGTCCCTGCGTCTGCTCTAATTTGCTGCTGTCAGTGTGCCCAGCAGGCTGTCCTGCTTCTTGCGTAAGATGGTTGGACACCTGCAGCGCACAGTCCAGAGTGGTGTTGACTGGAGCAAGAAGCCATGGCAGATCCCTCCCAGGGTGGCTTTGTCTCCTCTCACATCCRCAGGGAACCTCCCGGACCCCAAGGATACAGAGAGATGATACAACTTCCAGAGGTGCTAAACATACACTGGCTATTGGTCGATTAAGAGGGGGACCTGTCCCTCTTAATTAGGAAAGATCATGTTTAAGTAAAGCAGAAAATATAATTATACAAGGAAGTTCCATAAAGGGACCTGAGGTCAACCCCAGGCTCACTGCCACTACCACAGCCTGCACCTTGCTCCTGAGTTTCTCTACTGCCACCATGGTGCCACAATCAGGTGGAGGCGGGCTGAGGCATCTAAGCTGCCAACTGTAGTTCCCAAAACAACTTCAGAAGCACACCTCTGCTACTGAGGGATCTCATCCAAATYACAAGAACATGGTCCTTTTTTTTTTGGTACCAGGAATTGAACTCAGGGGCACTCGACCACTGAGCCCCATCCCCAGCCCTATTTTGTATTTTATTTAGAGACAGGGTCTCACTGAGTTGTTGGCACCTTGCTATTGCTGAGGCTGGCTTAGAACTTGCCATCCTCCTGTCTTAGCCTCCTGAGCAGAAGAACATGGTTCTTACAGAAGTGACTCCACAAAACCAACAGTGCCCCCTCCTTCTCCCCTAAAGCAAAGCAACACAAGAACAGAGGCCAGGTGAAGCCAGTGCAGATCCAGTCTTCTAGAACCATCCTATGCTTCACACAACTGCCCTAATAATGAGGCTCAGGACCCCATGGCTCCCACTGATGGCTAAAAGTTTTTGATTGAAAAGTCTAAAAATTGGCTCTCACTCCCCCAATATTAAGTTCTAAAAAAAAAAAAAAAGTCTGTAAGGTAGAATAGGAATAARTAAAGAGTGACTGAATGCCTTTCTCTGGGTGGGGTATCATCCCTGATGTTATCAATTTTAATAGCTATTTAAATATGTCAAGATCTATTTAAGTTCAGACAAGCACAAGTAACATCCGAGTCAGTTCTTTAGAACCAGAATGACTAGGTTTGGGTGATACTTGGTAAATCTGTGCTTATGATTTTTTCTGAGCAAATGAACTGAAATAATTATAAAATTGAAACATTTTATAAAGGTGACACCACTATATTTAATTGTATGAAATTTACAGTGTAGAAAATGTAATCATTTTATTCAGTAGCCCATGCTGTAATTAAGACTGTTCTTTTGAGGTGTCTTGTATTTATGGTTTGCCTCTTCCACCTGAATGAGACATCTCAAATTCAAAATTATATATCAATTAGGCATATGCTCAGGATTGTTTTAGAAGGGAGCTGGCTTCTAATACCATGTGTACCCCTGGTTTTCTTATCCCTGGGGATGCTTCTGTAATCAGAAGAACCCAGACACAGAAGCAGGTACAGATAGCTCTCTGTACTTTTCCTATTTTATTCTGGGAAGGGACCACACATGATGAACAACGATTTAATAACAAAGCAGTGCCGCAGCCCGTGGCCTGTGATGTGCAGTAGAGATCCTCTTAACTCCCATCAGAGCACACACCATGAACCAAGCTAATGGACGCGGCACATTTCACAGAATCTGCATGTGTGAGGCTTTTCCATCCTGTTTTAAGTGGGGCAATGTATATAAATAATAGATATTAGCAATTAAGCATCCATTCCTATGTACTCGTTTATACATCTGAAGATAAATTAACCACAAACTACACAAAAGTGGATGCAATCTTCTCTCTTCCCTTCTGTTTTCCCTGCTGTTCCTGAAAGATATTTCTGTATTTATCTCAGTACGAACAATGACCCCAGTTCTCAATTTTGGCATCCTTAAATTAATTACTATCAAAGATTCCCTAAAACGAAGCGTGTCTGACTTAACTCTTCATTTTCCTGTTTAAGATAATGAGTTCCTTGTCGCTGTCCGTGGGTCTTTAGCCTGAGTTGTTTGCTTTCTCTTTGTGCAGGTGTCAACACTGCATGAAAGAGATGTTTCACAGTGGGGGGGGGGCGCCCTAAGTTGCGGTGGTGGTTACCTGTGCCACCAGCTGAAGCCTAAACGTTCGGGCTCATGCTGGCTTCAGTCCAGTTCTTTGGAGAACCACTGCATTCATTTATCCTTGTGAATCTCCTTTGCTCTTTTTAGCCAAGAGTGAGCTGTTATTTTTCTGTAGGAGGCTTTTGAGTATTAACTTCCATTTTATTGGAGCTGTCATTTTGGCCCGGCCCTGAGAACACGGGGGATCAGATATCATGGTAGCAGGCCAGTCCTTCTCCTCTCACGATCCCTGATGGGAGGGACGAAAGTCTTACTCTGTGAACATGTGGAATGGCAGTTCCTACCTCTGGGGCCATGAGGCTAACACTCCTCATGGAGCACTACACATGCTTTCCGGTACAACCCAGCAAAATGCTGCAGTATTGCAAAGCTTTTGCAGAGAACTCCTTTGCTTTGCCCGTTCTCCCGACTGGTGTTCTTCACTTCTGCCGAAGCTAGAAACTTGAGCATGATTCTGGATGGGCACTGTGGTCTGCACGCCAAAGTCAGCTCCAAGATGTGTCTGTGGGAGTGTCTTGCACTCCATCAAATAGATAGAATGAGCTCCCAACACTGGGAAATTCAGAAACTTCCCATCCTAACCTCTGACTATTCTTGGAATGCTTCAAGATCTTTAACTCTGGGTCTGGGTGTCCTCTGGCAGCCATCAGCTGGAATCATGTAGAAGAAGTGACCTTTAGGTGACACTTGCTCTCGGGCTTGTCCTGGTCCCATGGGTGCACCTGTTCACTTCTCCACATTGTCATTCCCATCTCTCCTGCAGCTGCAGGCAATCAGGTCTAGAGTTTCTAGCCTAAAGAAGCTACTTCAACATCTGTACCCAGTTCCACCTTGATAACCTGTGTCAGGGGTCTTCTCTCTTCTTCCTTCCTGACACTGAAACCATAACCAAAGCTAGAATTGAATTCCTACTTTGTGCTCGCTTTATACATGTTATTTCATTGATCCTCAAAGGTGCCATGGTGTGTTACTAGTCCTACTATGTAATGCTATGTAACTGAAACTGAGAGTCAGAGATGATTTTAAAAAATAGAAGACAAGAAATAAAATGTGTCCAGTTTTGTACAGTGAATAAATGTCAGAGGCAAGAGTTAAATGAGTGGGATGTCAAATGGGCTTTTAAGTTTATTTAAAAATTTTTCTTGTCTATAAAATTAAATATGAGTTTAAGGGCAGAGAACATCAATACCCTGTTACGTTTTCCTCTGAGAAACCCCAGCCTTCCTTTAAATGCAACACAAGAGAGTGAAAGCAGAACTCTGGAGTGATGTGTCCCTCTGAAGGTCACAGGAACCTTGACCTGAGTTAAACTCTGTATGTGCCGGGGCGGAGTTGGAGACTTTGAACTTGATGGTGCCCAGTGTTGAGCAGAGATCAATTTGAAACTGCCTCTGCAAACATGATGTGCCCTTTATGTTGTGCCTGGGGTGCTTTGGTCTAGGTTTCTCTGATCAGAATGCCTGGAAAGTGATATTACCTAGGGGAAGCAAACCTTCTTCAGAGACAGCTGACGCAAGCATCTTGGTATCTGATACTGCCTCGATTTCTGTGTTTCCAGCATTTTCATCCCCGTCCACTCTGCCTTCTCCTCTCTGCCTGGAGCCATGGGCTGAATAATCCCATCTCTGAGAAGGCAAYGTCTGCCATTTTCCCCTGCCCACTTCACAGCCCTGTATAAGAACGATTCTGCCCCTCCCTACTATGTAAGATACATCGCCTCTGATTCCCCACTTTGAGAGCAAACAATCTGCCAAGCACCTCACAACTGCAAAGTGACCTTGACATGTGTCACTCACCAGGGATTTCAAATCCAAGTCAAGCTGTTTAATATTCATAAAGACTTTTTTTTTTTCCTCACAGCATATGTAGTGATTTTTGCAGGGACTGGGGGCTGGGGCGCCTTATTTAGAAAGGGTTGGATTCTGGGAGACATACCCTCCATGTCTCTTTGACGCTCTGAAGGGTTGGTTTGGAGGTAGGAGCGTTCTGTCTGACATTCTTCCAGGGAGGACAGTGACGTGCTGGATGCTGACAGCTTTTTCTCATTGGGGGTTTCCTTGGCTGGTCCATCTGTGATGTTGAATTCAGAGACTGAATTTATAACCATAGCATTAATGGGTTTCTCATCTGCGTGGTTTTCATTTGTGAGTTGCTCATCTAGACAAGAAAAGAAAGCACACACACCAACCTCCTGTAGTTTATAGAGTTCACATTCTAGAACATAAGAATAAAGTCAGCTGAACAAGAATGGAGCAGTATTTTAGCAGGGTTATTCTGGAAAAAAGTACAATTAAAAATAGAATACAATCATTAAATTTTATACACTTTATAAGCTCTGCCTATCCCATTAATTTGTAACACGTATCTGTACTACATGTTTTTTTTTTTTTTTTTTTTTTTTTGTGTGTGTGTGTGTGTGTGTTTTAATGAGCAGGGATAAATAAGGAATTCATTCCCTCAGATCAACAAATCTCCTAGGAGGTCATCAGCACCCTGTGGTGGTGCACCAAGGATCTGATTCACAGGGACAAGGTCTTAACTGCTGGGCAGCCCTGCTGAGTTACAGGTGTGCCCTCAATCAGGTCCTTTATTATGTTTTCCTCTATCAATGGTGTCATGTTTTGTTGAGTTATTCCACGGCCCCTTCCTAATTCTTTTCCTAAGAAGCTCTGTTGCCACCCCTTTCTCTGCCTTGGCACTTGCTAGGTCCCTTGCCAGCCACCTCTGTGGCTTTGGGGATGTGCTTCCTGGCTTTGGGGGTGTGCTTCCTGAGGACATACCTTATTCCATGGAATCAGCTGGTGCAAATGCCAGAGATGTTCAAGGAACTTCTAGCAAAAGTCCTAATGAAGATTCCTATTTGAAGAGGTGGAGAGGAAGCTGGGAAGGCCAGCGTTTCTTGCATTTGGGACTCTGGTGTTTAATCTACCCAAGCTACATAATAATTGGAGTCTGTTATGTGACAGGTACAAGGTTGGACCTGAGTACTAGTAGTGACAAAAACATGATACAGATTAGCAAAGCAGTGACTATGCACACTACAGTGATCAGAAGTGCCTGAAAGAGACACATCCTTTAAGCATGTGAGAGCAGAGTGAGGCCCAGGCTGGACGGAGGTGCAGTTAGCACAACTCACCTCCACAATAAGCAGAGTCCTGAGATGGGTAAGAGAGGGAACAGAAGAAGTTCCTCTCCAACATGCAACCTGGGGATTCCCAGGGACATCTATGATTCTGGAGTTTGGTGACACTGCTGGGAGTGGTAAGGGTGGGTTCTGGGAATGGCATTCCCACAGCCAGCCCAGGGCCTGTCTGACTGCCTAGTGCCCACTGAGCCACTGAAACAAAGATGATGATTGGCAACCTGGCATGATTCACCACTCAAATGCAGCTCACAGCAAGGAAAGCATCCTTGCCATGCCCATCTTCCTCGCCCATCCCAAGGTGCGTCTTCATTTGGGGCAAATAGAAATCTCTGCAGTTTTCTATGTAGTAGAATCACTTGAGAAATCTAAAAATTTGAACTGATTTTTAGAGGTCAGACACCTCCCTCCCTAGCAGACCAATTATCTCATAATCCCTGGAGGATTTTTAAAACTCCCCATAGGCAGTCCAGTTTGGGGACCCCCGGGACCTCTCACTTTTGTGAATAGAGGAGAGAGAACATCCTACAGATGTGAGTCAGTGATTCTCAGAGACTGGCCAGGCTATGGTTGCTCTCTGGTTCAGAACTGGCAGGAGGCCTATAGTCATATACATATACATATAGTCATCTTAGGCCATTTTTGTTTATGATTTTCCAAACAGCCTTGGTTTTCAAAAATGCTTCATTTTTATTCCCTTCCCTGTATGTTGCTGGTTTTAAATCTCTTGGTTGCAGTTTAATCCACCCTTGAAAGATGGGGACCAGGGAAACATCTATTGTTGACAGCAATTAGCACAGTGTTGAATATTGAAATCGAATTGACTCCACAGATGGGGAAATTCTAGGCTTCTTCCATGCAAGAGGGATTCACCAAATTAATGAAGTAATAATAATGATGAGGAGGAAAATAAGGTTGTTTCTCTTCTTTGGATATCAAAGCCCCCAGTAACCAACCAATGTCACAAACAGATGGACTGTCAAACACAGTGTGAGACCCCCTGGAGCAAGATCCACATGTTGGGCCAGAGACGATGGTTAGTTGCATCCCTGTCCTGTACCCATTGGACACCAGTAGCACCCAATGGGTAGCACCTGTCCCCCTAGATTGTGCCCATCAAAAGTGTTTGTAGACAATGTCAAATGTCCCCTATGGGACAGGATTGTCCCCATTTGGAATGTACACGTGCAGCTTGGTGGATCTTATGCCACGTTCCGTGCACTCATGTTCTCTGTGATGCTTGGAGTTTGCCTTGCTCCCTTCCTGGAACAGATGGCTGAAGCAGAAGTTGGTGCCTGCAGTTAACAGATGAATGAGAGGAATCGGGACTCAGAACACTGGTCCAGGTGAGCTGCCCAAGGCCTGCTCATCAGTTGGTGTTAGAGCTGGAATTCAAACCTAGGGCCAGTGGGTTCCCAAAGCTTTGCTCTTATCCTTGTCTCTTTTGCATTCCACAAGACGTCTCTGATTCATTGTTAGCTTTCGCCTTGGCTCCCTAACTGCTGAAACTGTTCTTCAGCAAAACCCCTGCACTCTGAGTCCTGAAGTGTATCCCCTACCCTAAAGCCAGCCTGGAAAGAAGCCTCATTTCATTTATCGATGTTTGCAAGGTAAAAGTAGTCTCTTGCCCACTTGGGGAAACCTGCCTGTTCAGTCACAGCTGTTTTGAAGACCTCAGCTGAGAAAGAGCTGATAGATAACGAAACCTTGATGAGAACGGAGATTGCAAGCAGCTATTTACTTAATAGAATTAATTAACAATCAGTTCAAATTATCATACATAGTCAGGTTGCATGTAATTTAAATTGCTTTTGCACAAAGTAATTCAGAAACAAAAAAAAAAAGTTGGATAGAGGTTACTGGAATGTAAGAACACGGGGAGAACGCAGCATACAGCCAAGTGGTATATGATTCTCTTTTTAATTTTGCGACAGTTTTAAGTATAGCATTTTGAATGTAAGTGGTGCTACATTAAGCAACCATTTGGAGCACACGAGGCTTGTACGGAGAGGATTTTGTGGAGAAGTTGAACTGCCATTCATAAAGTTATTTTAATTCGATCTCTCTGTTTATATTTTTATTTTTTTTCACTCCCCAGGGGGAGCTATCTGTTGCTCATTAAAGAATCATCTGACACACACATTCCAGAACTCAGTCTGTTCAGCCCAGAATTCTGACATCTGAAGGGAGTCACAGTTTTTGGGTGAATGTTACTGACATCTTCCATTTTTTGAAGACGGAATGCTAGCAATAATGTCCCCAGATTCCTTCCTCTACGGTGTTACTTGACATTGTACCCAAAGTATCATAAAGTACAAAAAGCTAAAAGGAGAAGCACATGAACAGTGGCAGCACATCTTCTGCAGAGAAAACTATTTTGGAATTAAATAAGGCGCGAGAAACTATATTTGGGATGTTATACATAGTTCTTGACATTAACTCAGGAAAATAATTTTTTTTTCAACAGAAGAATAAAAAAACCAAAATTAGGACAAAAATTAGGAGCACTTCTCTAGTTCTTAGAAAAAAATTAAAGCATATCATGAACCTCAGTGAAATAGAAAATTCCTATTTGGGTTAGAAGTAATTGCAAGAACTACTGGGCATAAACTAAGTAACAGAAAGATGGACAGTTAATTAATTTTTTATTACCATTGAGCAAATGTTATTAATTCAATTAACATTTATTGAGGACCCACATGGAAGAGATGAATCAGTGTGACAGGCGCTAGTAATTTATTTACTTTTTGTTATGAAGGAAACATTTCTGTACTCTTCCTTTGTGCTCACTAAATGTGACTTTATCAGTTTTACAGTCTTTATGGATGTAAATGTGGGTATGCAGCCTCTTCCTGTCTGGGCCCTGGTTCTGGTCTCTCTCTTTCCTCTTTCCAATCCTTTTCCCTGGCCTCTCTGGCCTCCCCAGCCTCCCCAGACTCCCTAGCCTCCCTCTTCCTGCCCCTCCCATCTTCCCCTCTGCCCTCTCATTTCGGTGACTGACCTGAGGCCCTGTCACTCACGTGCCTTCCCTCCAACTCCTTCAACATCCTTATTCCGAAGGCCTCGGTCCCCTTAGTCTCTTTCCCTGTACCTCACCCTGGGAGCTCATAACTGTCCACACTTGCAAATGAATTGTTCCAAGAGTTGGCCTGAAACCTCCATGCGGCCAGTCAGCTGCAGCCTCCAGGTTGGCCTGTGCTAACCCTGGGGGATCCAGGCCTCTTAGGAGGCCCTGGGTCACCTTGGAACTGAGTTACTGGCTGTTTTGTTTGGGTTTCCAGCCAAATCCTCTCAATTTCACATGCCTTTCACTAAGCCCTTCCTTCTCCTCCTCCCCTAGACGGGTAACTTGGCCCTCCTGGGAGAGTGCAGAGTTGGTTTCTCTTCTTGGATTGTCTCTTTCCCTGTTACCCAGGTTCAAATTTCTTCCCTCTGTCCAGTCATTTACGAGTTCTATTTTGTTCTTCCTTCCAAATGTCTCTCAGGTCCACAGAGGCTCTTCCTTCCCCTTGCCAGCCATCCGAGTGACACTGTCTGTGCCCTCACAGTGGGCTTCTTTGGATGGTGTCCATGTGATGAGGACCCAAAATATCTCATACACTGCAATCAAATGAGGTTTCACAATTGGTCCTTCTGATCTCATGACTCATAAAGCAGAAGGAACACAGCACACACCCCTTCACATGTTCAAAATGTCGGCAGCTCCTACGCATCTCCCCTTCCTCCCATTCTCACTTGACCCACCACCCTCTGGCCAGGCTGCTGTTGAAACAGGCAGCTGTGGCTAAGATTTTCTTCTGGAAAACTCCAGATGCCTTGATGAAAATTTTTGGATTAGGCTTTAAGGTCCAGTGGCGGTGTAGTTCTAGACCAAAACTTTAAAAGTGAGTGTGGATTTCGAATGTACCGATTCTTCTCTACCCTACAGAAGTGAATTATATTTTCCCTTGGATTTCCATCCACTGTTCTCTGGCTTAGAATTTAGTACTGTCATTATCTGTGGTTGAGATCAGATCAAGGCAGACGTGTGACATTTCAAGATATGAGCCACCAAAGCAGTAATGAATGGCTGTGGCTGGTAACATAGTTAACTGAAATGACGCTGTAGAGAAATTTCTTTTTTTTTTCTATAAGAACTTGATAGAGTTCACACAAGTGTTAGAAATTACGCTTTGCTGTTGTTAGAATGTCTGACCACATTCTAGGCAGTAACAGAATACACAAAATACAGGAAATCATCTGATGTGATCAAATGTAGTGAAAATCATTAGATGCGTAGATCACTTTTATTTTTATATTGAGTAAAACTGGAAAATGGAGGAGGATGGCTGAAAACAGCAGGATCGGGAAGATAAGAATCCTCAGCATTGGCAAAAACAAAATAAAACGAGACTGGTCCTTAAGGAAGCCATATTTTCAACAGAACACTACTTCATTCTTTGGAGGGTGAAGGAAGAAGATGAGTAGATAATTTTCTCCAGCTGATGGATGAAGACTTTTTGAATCCTTATCACCTTTTGGAAGTGCACAGGTATCTGTCATCAAGGAGTATCAACCGATCGCAGTTGCCTGTCAGATTGGAGAGAACAAAACCTCAGGTTCATGAGTTTTAACTTTTGGGATGAATAAGAGAGCTAAATACATCCAGCGTATTTTTTCTTAACTTTCAAACACAGCTCCAGTTGGAAGATGTCCTTTAAAGACTTTCAAGTAAAAGTGGCAGTTCTATACATCCTGGTTTTGATGTGTCTTACATAGCCCTTCAACAGCAGCTCGGCCTCAAAAGCGTCGGATGAAATGTTTATCAAGGGCCGTGACAGGAGAACATTTGAAGCCCTTTCAATCAGCCTTCGCAAATCTTCTTTAAAAAGTGGGAAAGAGCAAAAGCATATTATTTCTCCAGAAATAATGGCAGTGAATGTTCAAGGTGAAGATGATGAAAGGGTATGCAGAGCCGAGGAAGGGAGGCCAAGCAGGCCTCCCCAGGCTCCTCCATCCTGTGGAGCAACTCCTAACTCTGGGGCTGACAGGCTCTGTGGCTGTTTCCTTCTGTTCCAG